CCAGAATAAATTTTTCCAATTCAAGGAAAATAACATCTGTTCTATAAAATTAGAATAGAAATATAAAAAGAAATATTTCTGGAGGAACTGGGGACAGTTTTAATTAGCTAGAGATAATAGTATAGCTCAGAAAGCTGCCTCTCACTCCCTTAACTGACAAGGAAAGAAATTTGTAACAAGGTAGGAATTTGTCAAGGTGAAGAGTCTTGCCCTCCTGCCCTTTTGTATGGAGTCATTCCCACCACCCAGCACATCACATGGTGCTCATTTTTAAAATTCATCCTTCAGGAACACTTTAGCATTTTTTTAATTTCTCCTTCTTTGTATATGCATAGCGTAAAGATAACTAGAGGTCATAGAGCTGCAGGCATTGATTGCATTTTTGTTTTTGGTTTGGTTTTTTGGTACCGGAATCAAACTCAGGACCTCAGGACTGTGCTTACCAGGCATTTTGATTATGTGCCAGGCACTGTAACAAGCCCCGATGATGGGAGCCATTGACTAAAGAGCTAACATTCTAGGAGAGGAGATAGGCATGCCAGGAAACCGCACAGTGTGATTATAAAACCGTAGGACTGCGATTAAAATCCACACCTAGGCTGGAGGCAGGGGCTACTAGTTTGGTCTTCCTGTGGATAGAGGGAGGATGTGGTATCCAGGAGACCAGGCGGGCCCTGCACGTCGTGCTGCTCCCGGGATGGCGCCAGAAGAGTAGCAGCCACACCAGCAGGCAGACAGTGCAGCTCTCCCTCGCCCGTGAATCCTGGACTAGGAATTAGTAAGGTCAGTGTTGGCAGGCACGAAAGCCGAAGAGTCAGAGTGTGAAAGACCTTGTATTCAGGCCAGGAAGTTGGAGCTGTGCTTTGGACCGTGCCATTGGTGATTCTAGGCTGGAGGATGGTGTGGTCAGAACTGCCACTGGAAATTCTAATTTTTCAAGGGTGACTTGGCTTCCCAATGAGCTCTTCCCATCCCTAAGCTTTCAAGTCAATTATAGTATTTTCAGTTACAAGGAGTAGCAAGTGCAGCTCACATGGCTGCTGTGGGTTATACATGGCTTAAATGTGCCCCCAAAAGTCCATGTGGAGGGAACACAGCCCCAGGGTGCATGTGTAGAGCCTCTGAGGCTTTGGGGAGTCCCGTAGGATGGGGAGCCTGCTGCCTCTGGGAAGGGTTGATGTGGTTCTCACCCCAGGATAGCTCTGGAGAGAAAGTTATTACCATCAGAGCCAGCTGGCCCTACCCAGTTCTCTCTGTGGCTTCCTGTCCCACCCATGCTGCTGCCATTGCCATCTACCACCGTGTGACACAACCGAGGCCCCAGCCAGAGCTGTGCCAGTGCCTGCCCCGTGCCCGAGAGCCTCCAAAACCTACTTTAAAGCTAACCGAACCTGTTCTATCAAGTTAGCCTGCCTCAGCTATTTCATTATAATAATGAAAACAGACCAGTACAGTGGCTTAAACCCTAACGTGATTGGACCTCAAAAACAGTATGCCACGTGAAATAAGTTCGTCACAAAAGGAAAAATACTGCACTTTTCCACTTACAAGAGGTCCCAAAGGAAGTTTCGTAGAGGCAGAGAGTGGAATGGTGGTTGCCAGGGCCTGTGGAGTTGCTGTTGAACGGGGCCAGCGTTTCGGTGTCATAGGATAAAAGATGGCGGCGACAGTTGCGCAACAGCGTGAGCATTCTCAGTGCCAGAATGTTCCAATGGCAAATTTTATGTTGAATTTTATCACAAGAAAAATATCCCCCCAAACATGGCTTACACCGAACAGGAAATACATCATTTCATAACAAATCTGTAGCTAGAACCGCCTTGGACTTGGTTCATTCCCAGTTGACCAGTATCAAAAAGGAGCCAGGCTGTCTCCGTGCTCTTACTCTGCTGCACCCGTACACACCCTCATGCTCTGCCGAGACGAGCGTCTCGGTCAGAAGTCACTTGCCACTTGCCAAGAACCAGGCTCCGAGCACGGCAGGGCTGCACCAGTCAGGCTGGATCCCCGGTCGCTCTGCGCCGTGACTTCCTGCGGCGATTTCCACACTCCAGCTTTTACCCAAAGTCAGTTCAGTCTAGACAAGGAAAAAGAAAAGCCCATTGTCTACTTAGAATGAATGAGTCAAGCCTGGAGCTTCCTAACTCTTGTTATTTTGGGGAAGAACTAAGTTTAGGAAGCACACTCATTTCTGGCCAGTGGGAGTCAGAACGGAAAGCTCTGTGCTGAATGACTCGGGGCGTCTGTGTGCCACCCCGTGATCGTGATGGCGCTGCTAATGGCTTCCTAATTGCTCTCTCATCCTACTCCTTCCTTATTTCACTGAATTCTCTGGACAAATTACGCTCTCGGTGCACACTGCAGCAAACAGATGTGCCTCCTCTTAACGTTTCTTTTTTTAAATTGAAGTATAACACATGCAAGAAAGTGTGAAATCTTGAGACAGCTTGATTAATATTAGTATGTGTACATGCCCGTGGAACCACTCCCCAGACCAGCAGAAGCTTCTTCGGGGCCCTGGAAGGCTCGTTACGTAACCACTGTCTGACGTGTGTCACAATAAAGTTCGTCTTGCCTGCGTCTGAACTTGGTGGAAATGGAACGTGGTATATTTGATTTTTCACACAAGATTAGGTGTGTGTGGTTCACCCGTGTCACTACAGTTGTCGTGGCTGTTTCATATTCCCTTAAATGAATGTACCAGTTTTCTGTTCTACCACTAATGGCTATTTGGATTTGGAGATTTGTAAATAACATGCCTTTTCATGGACTTAAGCATTTCTTTTCCCGCTGAGGAGTGTCATGGCTGGGTTGTGGGATATCCCATGGACCTAGGCCCCTGGGAGACACAGCAACCAGTGAGTGCTGTCTGAGAATCTTCTTTATTCACCAAGCCTGAGCCGCTGCCCATGCCCTTTATTCCTGTCTTTGTCTTTCTCTTGCTTTATGCTAAAGCCCACGTCAAACAGAAGTAGTGATAATAACACAGGAACAAATGAAGAGTTGCTCTTGGGGGTACTCCAAGTGGACAGCAGAGGGCAGAGCCCAGGAGCTGGAGGCAGAGGCCAGGTGACCTCCTTGGATGCTGGGAAGTTCCCTGGGGACACTGTGTGCAGCGCTGCTGCCTGTGTCACGTCAACTTCTGCCCCATGTGTTTAATGCTGAAAAGATCTTGAAACAAACGTAATGGGAAATCCTATTCCCACGTATCGACCATCTGGGTTAAAGATTAGGGTAGACTTGGCGAAGCTAACAAGTATTTGATTTCCTGCCAGGAACTTTTGTCCCCGTTTAATTTACTCAGTAAATATTTACTGGACACGATCAACCCCAATGGCTAGAAACCCGCTGGTGGGCAGGATACCCTAGAACCAACGCCACGGGGCAGGCAGCCCCAGAGCAGCCCCAGTGGTCTCCCTGCACCTGGGAACCACAGAGCTGAGGCCAGGGGCCCACACACAAGTAACGACTGGGAGTCAGCGGGCCAAGGGGCAGCGAGCTTGCAGCTAGAGAAGGAGCCAAGCGTGCCCAGGGGAGCCAGAGGCAGAATTGACTGGGACACTGGGAGAGGAAGCCAGAGACGTCACCGGACAGTCACGAAACTCTTGCAGTCACCGCAGCCACAGCCGGCCTCTCAGGAACTTGCCTTCTTCTGGCTCCGCGTGGAGGGCCTCTGTCCCATTTCCTTGTTCCTCAGCATCCTAAAGACATAGGTCTGCTCTTACAGGCGAGAAAGTGGAGGCTGGGGAAGTCAGTGAAACATCCAGATCTCCAGCTTGCGTCCCCCTGGCCCAGACGCCCCTGCTCTGCCACTCCTGTGCACCAGCTCAGAGCCAGGCCTCGTCCCCAGCTCTGCTTCGTTGAGACATAATAATCAATACCTAACAGGTCTCTGTCTCCCTTTTGCAAAACTCCTGCAGCTCTTGGAATTCCCTCGGTAGTAGGTGACTGTTGGTTGCACCCTTGGTGGGAGCAGCTCCCCAAGGAACCGAGCCTTGATTAGCAGCCTGGGGCCTTCAGCTCCGCCCCATGCTGAGGGACAGCCGGCTCTGGAAACTTTGTTAATAATTGATCCTGTCTACACAAGGGAGCTCCCATTAAAAATCCCTGAACACCTGGGTTCCAAGTGCTGTCTGGATGGGGAGCGCACCCACATGCCTCGAGGGTGGCACAGTTCCTCTGGCTATTCATCTGTGCCCTTTGCGGCGTCCTTTAGTTAACCAGTAAACATTCACTGAATGTTCCTCTGAGTTCTGCAAGCCCTTACAGCAAATTCTCTCTCTGAGGAACGTCTGCGGGAGCCCCCAAAGAGTAGCCAGGTTTGACCGAAAACCAACATGTATGATTGATGTCTGAAGTTGGGGACAGCTTCGTAGGCCAAGTCCCTGCCCCACGGGGCCTATACTCACTAAGCAGCTAGTGCTAGAACTGAGTTAAACTGTGGGACCCCGGGCAGTGCCCACAGAGCCATGGAGGATTGCTTGGTGCAGAGACCCACCCTTCTCCTCACACACCACCAGGCTGTGGGAAACTCGGGCAGCCGGGGAGGGCGAGACTCGCCCGGGACCCCGTCTGTGCCCTGTACTCCTCTGACCTGCTTGGTTGCATGTACCTTTGCTCATGGGGCTGTGCAGGGTACCTTAGACGTCGCCAGGTACCTTAGACGTCCTTTAGAGCTACAAGTCTCACACTGCAGGGTCTCATCCTGCATCGCCGCTTGAGGGCACCACCGGGCTCTGAAAGGCCACGCGGGCACAAGCGGTGTTAGCGTCAAGGAGAGAGACTTATTCCTCCCCACAAGGCAGTTGCTGTGTTTCTATACAGCTTCAATTCAGCATAATAAAAATATTCCAAACATTTCAAACTGGGACTCGTTCTGGAACAGGGGTTGGCCTGTGAGGGGGAGTGGGGGAGGGTGCGAGGTGGAGGCGGTTGCTGCAGTGGGAGGGTTTCCTACAGGGCCGCTGATGAGCCCTCCTTTCCCTTTGGCTTCTCCCCAGGGGTTGGCACCAGGAATTACTATCGGAAGATTGGCTACAGGTTACAAGGCCCGTACATGGTGAAGATGCTGAAGTAATGCCACAGCCAGTCCCCCCTCATGGAGCGCCCTCCCTGGCAGAAGACAGCAGATTGGCAAGGCAGACGGCCCGCCCCTGTCCCCCGCCAGGACTGTCCCCTCACCCTGTGGCCGCAGAGACTGGAAACTGCCTTCAAAGCCGGGCTGCAGGAGCCCGGAGCACCCTCACCTGTGCGTGCCCAAGAAGTCACTCCCTTTTTTAAGGCTGAAATCATTTCTCCGGTTTTCACATTCCGCATGTGGGCTGCAGGTGACCTGTTTTTCACTCAGTGACAAAAGCAGATCGACTCACTTGGGCAGCGTAGCTCAGGGAGTAGGATTCATGATAGTCATTTGAGGAGCAGCCTTGGGGAAGCTATTTATATACTCTAGGGATGAAAGTCAGGGTGGGAAGCGTAAAAACCACCACACTTGCCTCTCTGGCCTTTCGCTACATAATGCATTCACCCAGGAGTTAAGAAAATGAGCTTCTGTGTTAATGGAAGTCGGTCCTGTTACCAGGCTGATGCTTTGACATGATGCTGATGGGGAAAGTGGACTCAGGCTCAGGCTTCGTGTTAAACTCGATGGCAGCTGTCACCGGCCCCTGCCGTCCGGGAGCATGCCCTGCACCGGGCCTTCAGCGGCCCCTGTGCCCAGTCGTGACTCTCTACTTCTCACACCCGTGATGCAGCGCGGTAGTGCCGGAGAGCCCTGGGCTGTCCATTTGTCTGTCCTGAGCAAGCAGCGTCCAGTGGCCAGGTACGCGGCCCTCAGGTGAGATTCACCTCCAGCCACAGAGGCTGTTCCCTGCATTTCATTCTTTAAAGTGGATGTTGGTTTGGATTAAGGAGAGAAAGATAAAACTGCAACTCAGCTGCGAAAGCAAAAATAATCAGTGCAAATCGGGCTCAGCTATGAAAATAGGGGGGTGACTGATGTTTTCAAAGGTGCATCTTGTAAAGCTGAGACCTCCGGGTAACCTACCAAGGAGCCTCGGCCCGCACAGGGCAGCTCCTGTGGGGACAGCGTGGCTTCACCCTGGGCCCTGGTTTCTGCATCTCTCACGAAGTCTAAAGGCCTGAAAAGAAAGTGTTCAATGCACCAAGGAGAGTTGTGGTTTTGGTTTTTGCTTTCCCATTCCCTGTAAATTCAGCGACATTTGCCTTGATGTACAGGTTCCAGTTTTCAACCTGTGACACTCCTCATTTTCTCCTGGGTGCTTTTTGCCATTTTATTAAACTGCTGCAAGGGAAATGGTGTGGCTTTCTATGGGCGCACTGCGGCTCTCCAACAGCTTCCTGTAAGTGTGGTTTAGGGAATTCAGCTACTTCTCAGTTAGGCTCTTTTTCCCTGTAAAACTACTGAAGCACCACACTGGTTGTCACATACACATTGGGGAGCCGGCGCACCACCTGCGGCTTGCCCGGGGGACGTGAGAGCCTCAGGGCCTCCATTTGCCCACTTCTTCATTTACCCAGTTGGGTCAAATCACAAGGTGGCCCAGGAGGTCCTTCGTGAAACATTTGCACAAAGGCTCGTCCATGCAGCGTTCGGCATAAAAGATGCCGACTCAGCGGGTGAGCTGGCCCGGGTTCATCTCCAAGTCAGGGTGCGCTGTGGCCAGTCACCGGTGTTTCCAGGCCACATTACACAACTGCTTAGCAACCCTCAGCCCAGGCAGGTGCTCTGCTTTTAGCTCGGTTTTTGGCTGCATCACCTAAAGACTTTAAAAAAAAAAAGCCATATGAAAAATAGTCTGAAACACATTTGAGTAGAAAAGGAGATTTTACAAGTCTGTTATCACCATCGAAAGGTCCTGGTAAAGCTCTTTGTTTCTCCCATTTAGGAACAAACACCCATTTTCCATTTGCCATCCCTGCTAATTGGAAAGAGTAGTGAAAGTACAATCTAAAAACCAAACCGCTTCTGTGGAAATAGCTTGCAAATTGCAAATTTTTATTGCCGAGGCTGTCTGGGGCTTTGGTTTTTTTGTTATTGTTTTTTAAGATTTAAAAAACACAGATTTTGTTCTTAAGCTACTCAGACCCCTGAGTATCACTGGAGCTGAAGCTCTGGGTCAGGGAACCTGGGCTCATTCCCAGAGAAGCCTTGGGGGAGGGGTGAGTGCCCTCACCTTTCTGGACTCTGATTCCCCCGTTGGTGACCCCAAACCAATAGCCATTGCTCAGGACAAGTGTGGGGATTAGGCATGGTTATGTTTGAGAAATGCCACTAAACTGTGATGTTTTATGAGCAGCGGTTTCTATTCTAAAGGAGTTTCTCCACAATGTATGACCCTGGACAGGTAAACTACAGTTTTCCCATCTGTGAAATAGGAATAAAAGCCGTAGTACCTTCCTCATATGATACCTCTGAGAGTTACATGGCTCATGTACGTCACGTTCTTAGAACAGGGCCCGTGGGACATACAATACACTAGTATTCCTGACATCTAACAAGTACAATATTCCACCCATTTCTCTGGGGAAGGAATTTCTCATCCTGATAACAGAATCTCCAGGTTTTTGTTGTTTTTTGTTGTTGTTGTTTTTTGCGAGCTCCTGAAGTTTTCCTAGAAAGATAGCATCTGGTTTGAGGCCCTGCCTCTGCACCCTCTAGTTGGCTTTCCTCTTCCATACACAGAAGTCTAGCATTGCAGGTTGTCATGTACATGCCTTAGGAGATGAGATGCTAGCTGAGGTGGCAGCAGGAAATGCCTTTTGAAATGCCAGTGTCTTTCTGGGGGCTTCCCAGGACGCTGTCCAGTGTCAGTGTGCATGGCTGATCTCCACCACCTGAGCCAGTAGCAATGTCCACCAGGGAGTCTTCTGTCGTCAGTGGCAGGGTAGGTTGTGTCTCTGTAGTAGAGTCACCTACACCTGAAGTGCCTTCATGATGCTTCTGAGACTTGGAATTCCAACTAGAGCAGTGATTTGGCCAGCCTTTCTCAGGACACACTGTGCACACTTCCTGTTTGGGGGTCAGAAGGTGGAGTTTTCGGTCAGTCCACATTGAAGATGCTAATAGGTACCAAGCCACAGGGACTAAGCCCTGTGCTATTGTGGTTTATTTCATCCTCACACCAGCTGGGGAGGAAAGTCTTGTATCATTACCCAGCTTTTACACCTGCAGGGAATGGACATGCGAACGATTTCTTTAGAGAGAATGCAAAGGAACCAGAGTGTTCTCTTTGTACTTAACAGGAAAATAGCTTCTTCTGGTTCTAAACATTGTATATGCCAATTCTAACAAATGCAGAAGGGACCAAAAGCAGTGAGCTGAACACCAGCAGAGAGGACCGGGGCTACCACTGTGGTGAGTGTCCTCCAACCCTCTCCCTGCACATGGACACACACACACACACACTGACTTTACATAAAGCAGCCACACTGTGTGTGGACTTGAACATCAGGTGAAGCATCTTCCTATACTGGTCTAGAGCTGCGCCCCCTTACCAGTGACCTCTGATCCGTCCACTGTTCTCGGGGGTGCTGTGGCTTGGGCACGTCCCCCAAATCCATGTGTTAGAAATTTAATCACCAGCATAACCATGCTGAGAGGCGGGACCCTGAAGAGGTGATGAGGCTCTGCCCTCCAGAATGGATTAATGCTCACGTCGGGAGTGGGTCCCTGAGAAAAAGATGGATTTGCAGTGATTCTTGCCTTTTCTTTCTTTTTTCCTTTTATAGTACTGGGTATAGAACCCAGGCCTTTGCACAAAGCTACATACCAGCCCTTTTGATACAAGGTGTCACTAAGTTGCCCAGATTGGTTTCAAACTTGCAAGCCTCCTGCCCTAGCCTCCCAGAGTGCAGGAATTACAGGCATGCACCATCACGCCTTTTGCTTTCTGCTATGGGATGTCACAGCAAGACGACCCCTCAGAGGCAAGCCCTTTGACCTTGGACTTCCAGCCTCCATAACTGTACGAAATAAATCTTGGTTCCTTATAGAATACCCAGCATCAGGTTGTCCATGATGGGGCACAAGACTCGCTCAAGGTGCCACAAGTTAAGGAAGCAGTGTTCTGTATCTTGTTATCCTGTCGGCTCTCACTGTCAGAACACATAGAACCAGGTTTCAAGCACAGGGCTGCACAGATTGAATCCTAAGGTTTCTTCTTTAGATTTTTTTCCTAAGCAAATTCACTCGTCCAAGGCCAATGTCCTCTGTGTCCCTCCCCAGGGTTGTCCCCGCCCCTCCCGCTCCTCGCGCGTGTTGTACCTCACAGGCTGTGCGGGAGCAATTCTGCCTGGAGCTTGGCCTTTCTCATTCACAAGACAGCGGCACCTTCGATCATGACCAATCCCGTCACGCAAAATGTCAAGGCGCCTGCTGGCTGGGAGGCACTAGAGCGTGAACATCCTTTATTGAGGTCAGGGGTGACTGCTCCTACCTCTCCTTCCTGATACAAGGCCCCACGTCATAGCCGTTCTATGCTGGCTGCAGCACCCCGGAGAAGGTTAGACAATGTGAGCGCAGGGGAGACTTGACAGCACCTGCTGTCACCATCAGGGCAGGCAGGGGACAGGCTCTCGGCACGGACCCCGCTTCCACCCCCAGGAAGAGCAAACTGGTGTTTAGCCACCCAGGTTCTGGGCTTGCTGCTGCCTCTGGCCAGTTCTGTAGGGACAGGCTGTGACCGAGTGTTCAGGGGCTGGGCAGCGGGCAGAGGGCTGCTCACATCTGCCCAAAGAAAGAAAAGGACAGGAGCCCAGGACATCAGGAACAGGGGCCAAGTGTGTTGAGCGGCATGCTGTGCCTGGGGTCTCTCCTGACCACCCTGGGGGGACGAACTGTGGTCTCCCTTGGCAAGGGACACGCCACAGTTCAAACCAGGGAGGTGACGAGCAGGCCCCGAGGTCACCCATGAAGAGCTGGCTGTGAAGGCAACGATGTTGGAAAACTTGCAAAGGTTCAAGGATCCTCATACCGGGGAGAAGAGGTGGCTCGAGGGCTTCTAAAACGTTTGAGGCTGGCAGGAGGTTGGAAAATGATTGGTCTGGAAGCAGACAACGTTCAATGCACCCCAGCCACCCAGGCCCCACTCGGCACAGCTACCAGTGACCTCCCTCAAGGGAGCGCCCTGAAGCAGCCAGAAAAAACACCCAGATGAAGAGTGGGAAACATGGAACCAAAGAGCCAGGGGCAGAACTGGAGCCAGTGCTGAAAGTCACTGTCATAGAAAGCAGTGGATGCTTCTGAGTTAAAAGGAAGGCTGACTCCACACATCTCGTTTTGCTTCCTTCCAACACATACAAGACTAAGGCAGATGAGCTCTCTTAGTAACACATAAACAAGCAGTATGTGGTGGTGCACACCTGTAATCCCCCCCTACTTGGCAGGCTGAGGCAGGAGGATCACAAGATCAAGACCAGCCTGGAGCATGTAAGGAGACCCTGTCTCAAATTTTAAAAATGAATAAAAAAGGATGCAGCAGGCTGGAGGTGGTAGGGAATGAGTGTGGGCGGTTCAAGTTCCTGGGCTGCACTTGGGTACCACATCAAGTATATAATCAATTTGGAACCTACCTTTGGCTAAGGTGTTAGACTGAGCCAAAATATTAGACCTCAGACTTGTGGGAAGAAGGTGGAATGGTGATCAGCAGATAAACAGCCTCTCAGAGATTTGGTGTCCAGATGCGGGAATACAGCAGTATGAGGAAGAAAAGGAGGGAAGTGGGTCCCTGGGACCTGCAAGGATCTTAAGTGAAAATTGAAGCCCATAGAGAGAGTGAAGAGGGAGCTCAATGCAGAAGAAGGAGGTGGCAAGTGGCACTTTCTCCCTGAGCCCTGACTCAGTGTGTGGGAAGAGTGGCTCAAACCTCCAGCTGCACAGTGACTACTGGCCACTCCAGAAGCCTCCACAGAGAAATGCACCAGTGGAACATAGCAGTGGACACAGCACGCTGCAGTGGTGAGTGGGTTATTTGGGTCCAGATGCCCCCTGGGAGAGAGCGATTGGCCAGTAGCCATCTTGGGGCGGGGCCAGCTGAGCTCAGAACTCAGAGCAGCTGGAGGCTGGCTCCATCTAACAGCTTCTGGTGTCAGGGTGAAGCTAAACCAAGGTCAAGTCAGCAGGAGGTCAAAGAACCAAGTTCAAGCCAGCAAGGAGCCAAGTTCAAGCTGGAAGGGGTCACACAGAGTGTTGCAGGCTGAACATATCAGATTCTAGCCTCAAAGCCAGAAAATAGCCCAAGGGGCTAGGG